TATTTAATTATGTTTATCTGCAGTTAGTTACACGAATTCAAACATGGAGCTTTAGTAAGTTGTACTTAAACACAATTACTTGAAAATTTGAATAATAAGTAAATATACATCAATAAACAGTACTTCATGCATGAAAAATGGTTTTTAAGAGTTTTTGTCAAATGTTTTAAAAATATTGTTTACTGATATTATATTATTTAAAATTCAAGATTACAAGTAGAATGTGCATAAGTACATCTTACTAAAGCTCTATGTTTAAATTCGTGTAATTAACTGTAGATAAATATAATCAAATTAAAAAAAATTATCTTATATAGATCGGAGAAAAATAAGGAGAGAGAGTGTGTGTGTACGTATATATACAGGGGTGAGTTCATTTATTACTCCAATATATTGTGTTGACTTTGTTTACCAATCATAACTTTTAATCTTTGTAATATATGGATAAAATTCATCATGGAATTTTTGTAGCAAATTAAAAAAGAATGTTTAATGAACATAGGTGAACAATCATGAACAAAAGGTAATTTTGGGAAAAAGTAGGGAAGTTTCTTATAGCATTAATTACTCCATCGTTTTGAAACCGACATCAAGCTTTGATTATTCCTTTATTTATTAATATGTAATGTGTAACATATGGATGATGCGAATTAATGAGCAATTGTTATATGTGAGTAGCTTATGAACATTGTTCACCAATGAAAATATAACATATATGAAAATGTTCATTAATGAACACATACCTAAATGTGTGACTGGTGAACAATGTTTACCAATGAACAAGGAACAATGTAACTCCATCATAATATGTTAAACATACATATAAGTTTCATTTGTTAAGGACATCCATCATAATATGTTAAACACATATACAATTTTGAAAAGGGCCGAATTTAAGGAACAATGTAACTCTTATATTTTGCAAACATATTCTTACTAAATATTTAATAAACTATTAACCATGAATTAATATGGATTCCTATTAGACCATTTTGGTTTATATAGTTAACACAAAAGGTAAGGTCAACAAAAGATGACACCCTTTATATATATATATATATATATATATATATATATATATATATAAGTGTGTGTGTGTGTGTGTATAGGGGGGAAGTTCTTTTGTTAACATAATAATTGGTGTTAACTTTATGAACCAATCTTAGCCCCTGATTCTTAAAATCTATGGGTGATATCAAATGTGACATATTCGTAATCAATTAAAAATAAATGATATCAAAACATATGTGTACAAGGATATCCTTGAGAGAGATGTCCAATATATTTTTTACATCGGTTACAAATCGGTAATTGCTCATTCCTTTTACAGTTCGTAGAATCACCTGTGTTGAATTATGAAGTATTGAACACTTATGAAAACACATGAACATGTATGTAACTTATTAACTAATCTTAACTCGTGGTTTTTCACATATGAACATACGATAACGCTTATGATATATGAACACTTATTTGCACCTAATATAACTTATCAACGCTAAAGTAATTGTTAGTAATGGTGTCATTAGGTACGCATGAGATTGGAGAAACGACGACGACCACTATATGCTATGAGATAACACGGCGGACAAGTGTGAAGGTTGATGTCGGAATCGACGACGAGTTGTTTGATTCTTCGTCGTCTTCGAAAAYGAACTCTTGATGGTAAGAATGTGGATAATGATTCCAATGAGAATAGTGAGGAACAGATCTGAGTTGGTGAAGTAACAAAGGAGCAATTGAAGGGAAACCCGATATGTCCTTCTAGTTTTAATTTTAATTCGTAAGAAACCATAAAGTTATAATTTATTTCAAAATTGTCATTGTTTTTTATGTCCGTAGATTAAAATCAATAAATGGCTTAGATTGATTTTCACGATTCTCAACATTTTTATGGTTCTTATTTGATTACCATACTATATATATATATATATATATATACACACACACACACACAAAAAAAAATCATGTGAGAATAAGAGTTGAGGTGAGAAGTGTAAAAAATTATTTGAACCCCTTATCATTTTTAATCTCAAACAAACCCATGATTTGCCCATTAAAAGGAATTGATTCAATGTAAT